AATGACGGTAAGTCATCTTTGGGCACTCAAAGAAGAGAAAGCGTGTAAATTTTGTTTTCTGGCAGTGCAATCATAACACTGAGAGGGAAGGCTTGAAAAGTAACATTTTAAAACATTTGCATGCATCATTTGTTTGCCCTCAGTTTTATCTCAAGGCTTACATCCATCTGGTACAAGGTTTGCCTTTTGTGCCTTTATACTTGACCAAAACAGTTTACAGGAGTAGCAGGAACCTGCTATTGAGCATATTACCGCTCAGGATGTTTGTCTTGTTTATTTGTGTTTGCGCTATACTTAAAAAAATAATAATTGGTTCAAAGGCACGCTGTGAAGCTTGTGCTGGAGGGGGAAGCTGAAAGTAAAAGAAAAAGGCATGTGGACCAAAATAAGTCTGCCTGGGTACTCTGGGGTTTCCTGTTCAACTGAAGCAGATAGAGCTATAAAGTTAAATGTATTTATAGGGAAGTTTTGTTTGAACGTCGAGGTCATTGAGCAGGATGTACTCTAGTGGTCAGTGGCCTGTTTTTGGCTCGGGGTGCTTTCAGAACTCCACCTTGTGGCTTGAAGCCCACCTTGCAGTACCTAATGGCTGCATTTGCTTAAAACAGACAGCCAGACATAAACATGACTGTCCACAACCTCTGACTGAGAGCCAAGAGTGAAGAAACAAAAACTGATCGAGGCCATTTAAATGTCTTCTAAGGTTCACATTGGAGAGTTTTAAAGTATTTTAAATGCACTGTTATTTGACTAATGAAATCATGACAACAGCAACTTTAATTTCCTTATTCATTTAAAGCAACATTTTGTTATTTTACTATATGTACATTAAAAAAGGAGAGTAAAGTTTCCTCTTACAAATTATGAGCTTTGGGGGTCAGAGGGTCATTGCTGAAACCTGACATCACTGCTCAAGTATGCAGAGCAACAACATGACTGGGCTATAGTAGATGAGTAATTTCTTATTGTTCCTGTGGACTAAAGCCCTCTGTGTTCTCAATTAAAACAGCAAAAACAGATGAGACGTGGACAGACTCAGCTTCTTGTGCCAGCCATGGGGGAGGCTGGAAAAAAACTCCATTGGATAATGCAAGCACAAGATTGTATTTTTAATGTGGAGTAGACACTTAAGGACCGATCTGGCTCAAGACAGGGGAAATTATGGCTAAAAGTAGGTACGCCTACTCCGAGTCTGCAGGATCCATTGCCTTTCTGCTTTTATCTCATACTCTTTAACATGCATATCAATTCCTGAGTAACTAAGCCATTGCACCCCTACTTTTTCCTTGTATTATAGTACCTTCATGATGGATTCTGAAACATTAAGAAATTATTACATATACTTATGATACATCTGATACATTCTTTACTTAAACTTTTTATAAATATATGCTTATTTAAGGGTGCATTCTCACTGCTGGTCGAGTCCACCGATCTGTATAGGAATCATTAAATGGGAAACGTTTTGGTTGGCCTGGTTTGCTTTCACACAGAGATTTTTATACAAACTAAATAATGAAGTTGCTCAGGCTTTTTAGGAGGTGGTGTTGCTTCAGTCCTGAGCTGTTCAAAAATAAAAGCATGAAAAAGAAAGCCTGTTTTAATCTTATTACATACTTTGGAAAAAATGAAAAATATGTACTTGTTCTCGAGGTGGCTGCAGTTACCCAAGGTGCCTCCAAGTTGCGAAAAGCCCACCTGCCAAACTCATAGAAATTGCCATCCACTGTAGAGTAGCTAATGTGAAACCCGCAAGGGAAAGCACAATAGCAACATAATGACAGAAGGGGAAATTTTCCGACTAATAACAGAAAGGAGTAAAGAAAAATGCTTTGCATCACTAAAATACCTACTGTATCATCCAAAAGTCCATATTTTCTCACTGTTTCTGCCATTTAATCCTCAAAAGTTCCATTGCATGACAGATGACGGATTTCGGCATTTGAAATAATGGGAGAATTTTTAACCCCAAGAACAAAAAGGGAAAACCATCTCTACATTTCCTTCTTAATAACATGCATCTAAATCCTGATTAATTACCCCACCTGCTCTTGGACACGCTGCTGTCAGGGTTTGGTTGAGGTTTGAGGACCCAAATGCAAAGGCAGGGAGTCAGAGGTGAGTTCTTGTAGTTTTAAATTGAATGTTCACGGGTAACAGTGGCAGGAATAAAAAAATCCAACTTGAAAATGTTACTGTAAGCAAACCAGAACCATGGAGACATCTGGGAAAACAATCACGAGGAGCGAGGGAAAGACGAAGAAAGACGAGGAACCAGCACTGAGGAACTGCACAGGGAGAGTATTTACGGCTGACAGAACAAAGGCAGGACTAACAAGCTGATTGGGAGCAGGTGTGAACAGAGGCTTCTAGAAAGGAGCTAGGAGGGCAACAGAGGGCAACCAAGAAAAGCCTAAGAACTCAAATATATCCAAAAACACGACAAAATAGGAATTAAACCAATAAAACTAGAAAACAAGGAAAAACATGAATCAATGTGAAACTGAAAACTCAAAGAAAACTTAACAGAACCAAGACCATGACCACTGCAAGAAAAAAGTTCTGCCCAGACATTGTATTGAGAAACGTAGCAAGAACCCCCCCAAGGTAGGGCTGCAAGTACAAAACAACGCAACAGCATTGGCTTATTCAGGGTTTCTTTATAAACACCGAAAAATTATTCGACTCAGTTATGATATCTGGATGAAAATAATAAGAGTGGTAAAGTGAAATAAATGGCGCAAACATTTTCACGGAAAAATGCAGAGACTGGTGACTTAGGATTTTGCTTTGTATTCACTGACAGTTCTTTATATTGTACGGTTATGGCTGCTAATATAAATATGCCATGGTTATGACTGTTTACTATGGGCTCTACAAAGGAAGAAATGTTTCATTGACAGCTGCAGAAAGTATTATGTTTCTAAGGCTTAGCGTGATACATATTTCAATTGCAGATGATGCCATATATGAGTCATCGCTCGAGTACATGTTGGACTTATTTTTCTTAATAAGTCCAACTTGTGTTTATCTAGCTGTAAATGATATTGCTCAACACACTAAATCTATGTATCTATATTACAACATGGCCATCATATTTTTCTGTTCTTATTATTTCTGATAAATAACATCTTTAAAACATTATTTGCATAAAATTTGTGTTCATACATATGTGGTGATGGAGGGACTTGATTTAGAATATTCTATAGATTAAATCTAAGGGCAATTTCATTGCTTTATTTTGGGGAATTTGGGCTGAAGTTTTGCACATTTGTCTGAAAATTTGATTTATGTTGTGCAGCCAAACTTGATCTGCCTTAATTCCATGGAAATATGATTCTTCAAAGCAGCTTTTGTGTTTTTTGAAACATTTACTTGTGATTTCCCCCCCGGAAAATATCAGGATCTTTCCTTATTTTTGTGTACCATGTAGGGGGGCTATCAAATAGTCTTATCTAGTGATGTGTCTTTACGTCTCCGAATATTGCTATCTTACAGAATCTCATGAGAAAAACCTAGATTAAAAACTTTATAAGTATTGCTTTAACAGGAATTGGACATCAAAGTCAATTAACGCAGGGCCTCCTCTAACCTTTGGGTCAACCCTATGGGTTAAAGAACAGGGGCGGAGCTCGATGGGGGCCAGAGGTGGCCATGGGCACCCTTAGTCAATCATTGGCCACCCCTACCATTTTTTCCCCTCTATTACAGATGGTGACAGCTGTAATAATCTCAAGTGGAATATTCAAGACATTTAAATTTTTCATATGTTAACAATTATGTGACAACAAAAACACTATGGTTAATTATGCACATCAATACACTAACATTAAATATGAGAAGTACGGAATTTGTGCTCTTTTCAGAACTAGATTTTCTTTTTTATGGGGTAAAGAGAAAATAATGTGTCTCTGCAAGTCATCTAGGAGTCTTACCTAGATATTAGTACCTGTAAATGTAAATTTTATGCAGAATGATCATTGATAAAAGTGGGTAAGTAATGACGATGGAAAAGACGTTCGCCCCAAAACTCAAACCTAAAACAATTGTATCCACCCTACCTTTTATCTAGAAAGCACGGTTGTTTGAATATATGCGTCTATTTGTTAGCAAAGGCTGTATTAAAGCTACAGTGTGTAATTTTCAGCGACATCTAACGTCCAGACTGCAGACCGCAGCAACATGAACATCTCCCCCCCCCCACCGCTTCTCCCCCCCAAAAGTACGGCGAGCGTTACGGGACAAAATG